AGAGAGAGAGGGATAGCAGGTTCACGCAGAGAGAGGGGGACTGGAACTGAGTTAGACAGGGAGAGAGAGAGAGGGATAGCAGGTTCACGCAGAGAGAGGGGAACTGGGACTGAGACAGACAGAGGCAGAGAGAGGAAGTGAGAGCGCCARTTTTAACTTTGCTACTCTTTTATTTATTTATTATTCTTACTTATTTCTTTAATCCTATTTAAATATTTAGTAATCTATCATACTCTTCCTAATTGCTGAAAAGCGCTGTGTGACGACGGGGCTCGACGGATCTTGAACTTRATTGGYCCCTTTCACCCTACTGGTCGCTGAGGACCTCGGAGCGGGCGCGGCGAAGTGACAGGCGCCGTAGCCCATGGCTTCAGCGAACGGTAGGTAGCCCCTCCCCGGGTTTCCTCACAACACCGGGGCGGTTGGTGCGCGAACACCGCTTGTCGTCTCCTCACCCACCCCCACAGCTTGCCTCTGCACGCGCGCCTCGGTGATGACAAACTGACAATCCCTTGTGCCTTGTGTGTCCTAGGCGATGCTCCGGCGACACCACCAATGACGGCTTGTGTGATAGCAGCCAATTGATCCCTCGATACCCCATCCCACCCAAAACCCAATCGCTGGCTCTCCGGCGTCCCTTGCACATCCACCACCGCAACTTGCTCTGATTGGAAGTTGTCATCATTCTCCGAGCTCGCCTCATCAACGCGCATCCTTTTTGACTTCGGTACGTGGCCTTGACCTTTCTAGCCTTCCCCCCCTCGCCAGGACCGCTATCTCTCCTGCCCTTTCTTGTCGCGCCCCGCGGTGCCATGTGGATACAGCTTCAGTCCCCCTGCCACGTGGCCGATGAAGGCGTGTTGCGGTGCGAGGCATACGTGCACGAGGGGCACGTGAACGTCGACGTTCGACGGCCAGAGGAAAGGAAGGACGTGGACGGCGCGTATGACGGGGCACTGACCACAGAAGAGGTTCGAGGACGGCGACCAGAAAGGTCCACTTAGTGAGAGCAGGCGACGTGGAGGCGCGGAGCGTCGAACGGGATGTGGAGGTGTACGGCGAGAGGGGAGTGCACATGAGGCACCTCTGGAGCCGTGGCAATGGAAGGACTGCGGTACCTAATGGCGTGCAGGATGTCCTTTTGTACTGTGCGCAGTCTCTCACCACACCATGGATGCGCCTTGCCGTACCTGAAGCCCGCCCCTTCGTTGACCGTGTGCAGACCATTTTTGCCCACCCAATGGAGGTCATCCTTCCATTGGTCCGATCATATTGAATGTCCGCTCGCAGGAGGACCCCACCGGAGCTCGAAAGGGCCTGCTACCCATCCCTACACCTCCATCCCCGAGAACACCCAGTGCCCATATCAACCCCCCCCCCACTCCCCCCTGCCATGGGTTTCAGGTAAAACGAGGAGCTTCCCCCCCCTCCTCCTCCTCCCCCCATGTGGCTTCATGCATTGCCAAAGGACAGAAGAAACGGAGCGACTTCGAACCGACCACGCTTAAACGATCCAGGATCGCAACAAAACAAAACAAGGACAAGAGATTCGCAAAAAAAGCAAATGAAAAAAAGACAAAAAAGGCAAAAAAAAAACTACTAAAAAAAAACAACAACACAAAATCCATTTGTAGTCCATTCACGCACCACATCCTGAGACAGTCGGCAATCTCCGCCAAAACGACGATCGAATAAAACGCAAAACAAAAACAAACCAACAATAAGCATTTCACATCATCCAACGTGTTCATTGGTCCAGGATTGCAACACTACTCGGCGAAGACAATCCACATTGATTGCCCTAAAAAAAGACCGACATCATCGCAACTCTTCTAAGAGCACGCTGGACAATCTCAACACTAATCGGCCACAACAGTCGAAATTGGAAAACCTACTACACCAACGACGGATGCGCCGCAGGGCAGCAGGGCACGAAAACAACAACGAAGGCCGCTATGTGGGGCACGCGAACAATGAATACAAATATTAATCAAACAATACCTATATCAAACAATGAGACGGGCAAAAACGACCCCTCCTCTGTCCACACTACCTACCGCAACACATTGTAGCACACAGGACAACAACAACGACGATGCTCCCGAAACGCACACGTGGCGATCAGGCCGACCTCGGAGACGCCTGAACAAGAGACGTTAAGATCGTTCATGGATCACTTTCGCAATCTCCAAAAGGGCATTGCACATCATCAGGTTCGCCTAGTCGACGTTCTCGCAGTGCTCCTTCACCCCTGCACCTCTCGCTCGAGAATGTCGCATTGCCTCGTTAGAACTGAACACTGCCTCTTGCCGCGCTGTCCACCGTCGTCGCCATTAGCTTCCCGTGCTTATCCATGACGTCGGCGATCACATTGAAGGTCAACTGTATGGCATTCTTCCTTTTGTCGCCCCCGCCTGCACTACCGTTGCTGAACGACGAATCCCTCGTCGATCTCTGATCGTCGTCCTGTCCGTTCCGACATCCGTCGCTGGCCACTGATTCGTTCCGTCCGCCACCTGGCCCGACCATCTGAACCCCTCCAACCGTACCCGTGTCTGCGAGATTTGTTGGGTGAATAGTGTGATCGGCCTTCGACATCACGTTCATCTCCGAATACACACGCTCATCCATTCGAAAGTCGAACCCTTTCTCCTTCCTCTCTGTCAGCGTTAGTGTAAAGAAATTTTGCTTCCCAGATTGTCCCATGAATCTGTGCACGGATTCGAACTGCTGGTATAGGTTGTCCCATTTTTCCCTGCATTTCTCGGCCTTCGTAGTAGTCACCCCCGCCTTCACTAGCCTCTTCTCAACGTCATCCCACTTCCACGTCCTCGACTTCATCTGTCCATAGTTGTGCCCCAGCCCGACGAGATGCAGATCTTGATCTCTTTTCGCCCGGACCAGAGCGATCATATGATCGACGGTCCAAAAATCCCTGCTTTTCCCTCTGTCGCCTATGGACGTATCATCCACAACCTTCTTGCCTTTCCGCCCCGCACGCGGTTCCGTGGACTTGTTTGTGGCCCGAGTACCTCGCCGCTTCCTCCCAAGCGGACAAATCTCCATCGCGCCGTCATCGTCGTCCCAGTTGTCATTGTCGCCGTCGTCTGCCGTGCAATCTTTGTCCCCCCTGCCATCGCCGTACACGGGCATGTCATGGCCCCCGACGTTCATCTTCGCCACCCCTCTCGTTATGCTGGACTGTTGGACTGATGTGATTGTCGTCGATGATCGTCCTAAACTTGTCGACCCATGACCTTTGTGGCGGGCCAATCATCGTCGTCCCGTCGCCTGTCGATTGCATCAGTAGGTGTCGTCGATCAGCAGGCCACCAATCCCACTGTCCTCGTCCTCAAAGCGGCCACACCAGCACTGCTCATCGCTCCCCGCTTTGACGAAACGAGTTCGCACTCGTCGCCCAACTCACGGTAACACCTGCCACGCTCGCCCGAAAGCCCCCCCGCCGTCGCCGAAGGCCGTGTGCGGTTGCTGCCCGAAGTTGGGTTGACGACAACGGTGTGCGTCACATCCTGACCACTACCAGACCTCAGACCGAAGCTCAGATCCACGAGTTCTGCGTCGTGGCCGGCCGGGGTCTGCCCTTCTAGAAGATCAGTGTACGTCGGCGTCGGTGGCTGTCAGAACAGCTGGCTCCCCATCCAATCCTGCGTCGAACCGCTGCCCAGGGGAACCGTTGAGGATGGAGGGTCGTCGGCGTCATCGTCACTCGGAGGCAACGGAATCTCGTGGGACGGCAGGTTGCTGTACAGCGTCGGGTCTTTCGGCCGCCTGCCACCTTCCACACCGGTGCAACGCAGACGTGAAGACCCGCCCGCCACTGCCGGCACCGTGGTCTTCTTCTGAAAGTTGTCCATCTTCCTCGCCTTCTTCGACGTTTGCGGCGTCACTTTCCGTCCACGAACGCGGCCGAGGGAGCAGATGTGGAAGACGACAACAACAAGCAGCAGCAAAGCGACGAGGACCAGCAAAGGCAGCCTGCGGTACAGGTCAGCCATGGATGACAGGGCAGCGGATACGGAACACACACTTCCGCTGTCGCATTCGAGGCGAGTGGCGACACAGTACTGGAGGAAGAAGTCAACGAAGCAGATTTCTGCAATGGGGGACCGGAGGTGGACGGCTACAAAATTCGTTAATTCGACCATTGGGGAGCCCGCCCGAATGACAAAACCCCTCCAGCAGCCGGCCGAAGACGCCCGATGCTCGTCATGGCCCCACCGACGGGCCGCCCGAAGAACCGACAGGGCCGTCCCACGAATCGCCGGTAATGGTAAACTGAGGAGGCCGTTGCAGGACGTTGTTGACGACGACGGCCCGCAATGTCCGTCTTCCAGCCGGTGGACCACGAATGGACCACCTTCGCCCTTCAATTTTCCTTCTGGAGTCGACACCGTCAGCCCGTGAATCGTGGATCCTCGGGCTCCAAAGGACCTCGCGAGGTCCTTTGGACTCGAGGACGATTTGCCTGGGAAATCCGCGGGGCCCGAGGATTTGTCCTCGGAGTGTTTTCACTTTTTTTTTCCGAAAATCAACTTCGAGGACAGGTGGAACGACGACGAAATCCTTGGAGTCGCGTCCCCGAGGAGTGTCTAACGACGCCCTGAATAGAAGTGCGATGCTTGTCAGTTCATAGACAGTTGCACATCAGATTCTCTCTTTTTCTTTTTCTTTTTTTTTTCAAATAAAGCCCAGGGTGTTGTAGAGCCAAGATGATCGCTGGCAGCGGCAGCCGATGGTTGTCCTGACAGGATAGGCCTCCTTCCCTACCCTTCCCCACGTTGATACTCCCAGTGCGCCCCCTATCCCTACTGTCCTACCTCAGTGTGGCCAGCACTGAGGACCATCACCCTACCAGTGACATTTACACATTTCATAGGCTGGGCAAGGACCAATTCATATGCAGCATTTCCAGCAGGGTGCACGTTACCGACATTGCCATAGATAACTGTCCAACGAGCCGTCCACTGAAAGGAGAAGGGGACGGGATGGTTGGGGAAGTAAAACGGGGTCGCGGGTGGGGGGGTTGCTTTTTATTGTTCTTTTACACACTGTTTCATTGGGTTTTTTTTTTTTTTTTTTTTTTTTTTTGTTGTCCAGGACCATCTGACTTTTTCTGTGTCCTATGTATCCTCAGCAGCCTGTGGTCATGACCGCAGCAGCCGCGGTCGAAAACAGCCTCCTACGGCTGAGGGGAGGGGGGCCCCTCCAATAGAGGTGGGGATTCCGGGACAGGGACCCCGGCCCCACCCCCTCGAAGTGAAAAAAAAAGACCAAAAACCGGGGGGGGTAAAAATTTGGGTCCCTTAGGGAGGGGGACGCTGGGCCCGTTTCGATTTGCTTATGGCATGGCGTGACGATTGGGGTTTTTCCCTGGTCTTGGCTCTGCGCTTCGTGCCTGTGCACTGCACCTGGCTGCTTCGTGTCATCAGGCCTAGACCTGACGAGTTGCGCTTTCCACTCCGGAGTCATGGACCCCCGAAAAATATAAAAGAGCAATTTTTTTTTTTGGTTGGGGGGGTGGGTGAAAAAAAGAAAAACTTTGTTGATTGATTGATTGATTGATTGTGTGGGTGTGTTTGATAATATGTTTGATTCAGTCATTGAGTTTTTGATTGATTGATTGATTGATTGATTGATTGATCACACGCCACCCCGGCACACGCACACACACACATTCACACACACACACACCTGTCTCTTATACACATCTAGATGTGTATAAGAGACAGAACCTACTGTTTTTTTTTTTTTTTTTGATTGATTGATTGATTGATTGGTGGGGGAGGGGTCCTCTACCCCCTCCCCCCCTTGGGCTTATGATAAGGGCACATTGCCCGCTGCGGGGGCTGCTTATCTGTTCAGTCTGAAAATGGAATTGCGGAGAAGAAGCTTCCCAGATAATATTTTATTATTTTTGACAAGGCACTTATGAACTTCAACACTAAGATAGGAGGGGCCTGGACAGACTGGGTCTGTTGTTTCACGAACTGAGCCTGCTGAGTCAGGCCATGGGTATTTTTTGGTGTGATATCTGTTACATGCTGCGCCTGCACACGAGGGCCATTTTCCAGGCCCTGCGTCCTTCAGGCTAAAAGCCTGGATTTCAGGCCGAAAGCCTGAAATTTAGGGCCTACAGGCCCCGTGTCTGTTCAGCTCGTAGAGCTGGAAACAGGGGCCTACAGGTCCGTGTCGTTTCAGACTAAAAACGGCATGAGCCTTTTTAGCCTGAAACTGAGGGCCATTTTCGGGCCCTCATCAGACGGACCTGCCCCGAAACTCAGGCACCTAACCAGGGTTTTAGGAACAGGCTATTTTTGCCCTGTTCCCACGACCGCCTCAGCATTGAGCTGCAGCGCCAGGCCCTGGCCCAGTTCAGCATTGGCAAGAGCAGCCTCCTGGACTACCCGCCCTGCAACTGCAGGTAGTCGGAGGCAGCCAGGAGGCAGGCCGAGGTAGTGCATAGGGACTTCCCATGCACTTCACGGGGAGGCAGGAGGCAGTCAGTAGTCCTCAGGATTCGGCAGCAGCACTCTGGAGGGCGCTGCAGTAGTAGTAGTAGCGTTAGCCTTAGTCTTCAGCGCTGGGCGCTTGCAGCGTTAGTAGTAGTCTTCAGCACTGGGCACCATAGCTAGAGTAGCAGTAGAGAGAGAGAGATTGGGCGGAGGCCAGGAATACTTACCTGCAGCGCCGTTGCTCCAGCTTCGTCTTCGAGGTACCTGCAGCACAGCGCCATCTTCACAGGCTAGTACCTGGTATACAAGAGAGAGAGAGAGAGAGAGAGAGAGAGAGAGAGAGAGAGAGAGAGAGAGTGCTTCTTCTTCCTCTTCTCAGTCCACCATCTCCTTCTCACCCTCTCCCTATCTGACTTCACTGCATCAGCAGACTACGAGAGAGAGAGAGAGAGAGAGAGAGAGAGAGAGAGAGAGAGAGAGAGAGAGCTTGGTGACATTTGGATCCAGACTCTACATTGGACTTCAGACATATCGAAGAGGGATTATTTGGGACTTGAAACGAGACTTGGTGCTGACGACTTTCCCATCTCCCCCTTCCTCGTCTTCGTCTGATCCCCTCCTCTTCGTCTGTGTATGTCTGGACCTGGCGCCTCTTTTCTGTGTATAGCGCCAGGCTCCTTCACACCTTGTGATGGACATGATGCATGTTTGGTCTGCGTTTCAACATTGATTGGTCTAGTCATTTGCATTCTAGCGTTCTGCTTCGCTATCTTGTACTACGTGAATGAGGTCAGTCCCGGTCAGGTCAGGATTTGTATCTTATTCTTCCCTGCGCTATCGAGCACCATTCTGTATGTATCGAAATGCACATTGCTTGTTGAGATTCCACTTGCATTGCAGTGTCCATTCAGTCCTTTTTATCACATTGCGGATCCTCGGTTTTACATGTACATCGCCCAACTGGGCATGTAACATATTGCTTTCCGGGTCCCATTTCAGGTTCCACTTCGGCACTGGGTATGTGCTTTTCGACTCTCTGGTCCCGGACTTGACGGGCTGGACCCGGTTTCTAGCAGGTGTTGCTCCCCACCAATAGACGGAGCTTTAAAAAAAAAAAAAAAAAAAAAAAAAAAAAAAAAAAAAAGGTCTATTGTCTTTCTGGTTCGTCAACCAGCTCTACCCCTGAGGATGGCCGGTATACTGGTGGACCGTCCGAAACATGTGTAGGGTAATCACCAGTCGGTTCGTGTGTTTGTGTGTTTGTGTGTGTGTGTAGGGTAGCCGCCCCCCCCGCACACATTCACACACACATACACAAACACACACGCACAAACACACACACACAAACGCACACACGGGTCGAACAATAGATTGATTGATTTGGGGGGGGGGGGGGGGGGGGGGGTTCCCCCCCTGCATGCACCTGCTGCTCTAAGTGTTGTGGGCCTGCCGACGTTACTTGTGTTTTTCCCGCTGCAACCCTCAAAGTCACGGCCACAGTAAGTACCGGCCCTGCGGGGCCTCCAAATGAACAAGTGCCCTTGCAGGCGACAGGCCGACAAGCACTCAGACAGGCACGCAGACCAGCAGGCATGCACACACACATACTTAGAAATCACAGCAGAATATGGGAATCTCACCAACGCTTACATTCCAGCAGTAAGTCCCAGAAACAAGCAGTGTTCTCAGTCTGCGTTTTGGCGGGTCATTACATAGGCTTGGTTTTTCCTTTTGTTAATTACGATCGTAAGTTGGTAGTTATAGGCTTGCTTTTTCCTTTAACATGGAGGCCCGATTCGGCCTCCTTGCACGGGGACCAAATCCATAGGTAGGTCGTGCTGACCCGCGGGTGATATATGAGAAAGGTGCTGGCGGTTTAATTTGGATTTTCGGGATTGGGACATTGGAGTCGAGATTTCTTCGCTGTTTTTAGGGTTT